TGATCCACCTGCATAGGCCCCCCAAAATGCTGGGATTACAGGAGTGAGCCACTGCACCCGGCCAATATCACATTATTAACAAAAGTCTTTATTTGTAATTTGTACTGAGAATGTTGAGAGATCACTTTTAGGTTTATCATTCAGTTTCTCCATTTCTCTACCCTCCCACAAAAAGTCTTGTTCTGTCACCCAGGCTGGAATGCAGTGGAGTGGTCATAGTTTACAGCAGCCTTGAACTCCTGGCCTCAAGCAATCCTCCCTGCTAGGCCTCACAAAGTGCTGGGATTATAGGCATGAGCCACTGTGCCTGATCCAGATTCTCTCTTAATGTGTCTCTCCATCTGTCGTTTTTGCCTTCTTCCTCTGCCCTCCTTCCTTTCTCCTTTCTCCCTCCCCACGTTCCTTCCTTCCTTCCCTCCCTCTTATCCAGTCCAAAACAGAAATCTCACACTCATTAGTAAATCCTCTTGGCTCTAGCCTCAACATCCATCCCAAATCTGGCCATGTCTTCTCCAGTGCACTACCCTCCAGTGCCCCACCACCTCTCACCCAGAGTACTGCAGTCACCTCCTCAATGATCTTCCTCCTCCTACTCTCAACCCCTTAGGTTCTATTTTCAGGCTGGGCACAGTGGCTCATTTCTGTAATCCCAGCGCTTTGGGAGGCCGAGGCAGGTGGATCACTTGAGGCCAGGAGTTCGAGACCAGCCTGGCCAACATGGCAAAACCCCATCTCTACTAAAAATACAAAAATTAGCAGGGCATGGTGGTGCACATCTGTGATCCCAGCTACCCGGGAAGCTGAGGCACAAAAATCACTTGAGCCTGGGAGGCAGAGTTTGCAGTGAGCCAAGAAGGCACCACTGCACTCCATCCTGAGCAACAGAGGGAGACTGTCTCAAAAAAAAAAAAAAAGGGTATATTTTCTTTTCTTTTCTTTTCTTTTTGTTTTTGAGATGGAGTCTCACTCAGTCGCCCAGGCTGGAGTGCAGTAGCATGATCTTGGCTCACTGCAACCTCCACCTCCCAAGTTTAAGCGAGTCTCCTGCCTCAGGCTCCCCAGGTGCCTGCTATCACACCTGGCTAATTTTCATATTTTTAGTAGAAACGGGGTTTGCCGTGTTGACCAGGCTGGTCTCAAACTTCTGACCTCAAGTGATCCATCTGCCTCGGCCTCCCAAAGTGTTGGGATTACAGGCGTGAGCCACTGTGCCCGGCCAAGAGTATATTTTTAAAACCCAACAAAAGTGATCCCATTAAAACACAAGCCAGCTCACCTCCCTCCTCTGCTCCGAGCCCTCCTGTGGTCACTGTCTTACTCTGACTAAAAGCCAAAATCCTCATCTCAGCCCACAAGGCCCCACACAATCTGCCTCTCACCCAAGTCTGGCTCTTTTCCCACCCTCTCCCGTTTGCTCAATCTTCTCAAGCCACTTTGTCCTCTAAGCTGTTCCCCGAACACTTCTGGAACATTCTGGCCTCGGGGCCTTTGCATTCACCCTTCTGGCTCCTTGGACAGCTCTTGGCCCAGATACCTACCTACATAGCCTACTCTGCCACTTCCTGCAAGCCTTTGCTCAAAGGTCACCTTCTCCCCGAGGCCTTCCCACCCACATATTCCTGATCCCTCCAACCCATCTCTACTTTTCTTTCCTCCTTAGCACTTATCATCATCTAACGTGCCGCGCAGCTGAGTAGTTTATGTCTCTGGTTGCAATGGTCAGTTTCACGTGTCAGCTTGTCTAGACCGCTGTCCCGTCATTCAGTCAAATATGAATCTGGCTGCTGCTGTGAAGATATCTCGTAGATGTGATTAAAGCCTATAATTAGTTTACCTTAAGGAAGGAAATCTATCCTCGATAATCTGAGGGGGTCGGGTGCGGTGGCTCACGCCTGTAATCCCAGCACTTTGGGAGGCCAAGGCAGGTGGATCCCCTGAAGTCAGGAGTTCAAGACAGACTGGCCAACATAGTGAAACCCTGTCTCCACTAAAAATACAAAAATTAGCCAGGCATGGTAGCACGCACCTGTAGTCCCAGCTACTTGGAAGGCTGAGGCAGGAGAGTTGCTTGAACCTGGGAGGCGGAGGTTGCAGTGAGCCGAGATCGCACCACCGCACTCCAGCCTGGGAGACAGAATGAGACTCTGTCTCACGTAATAATAATAGGCCAGCACGGTGGCTCACACCTGTAATCCCAACACTTTGGGAGGCCGAGGCAGGCTAATCACCTGAGGTCAGGAGTTCAAGACCAGCCTGGCCAACATAGTGAAACCACATCTCTACTAAAAATACAAAAAAATTAGCTGGGTGTGGTGGTGGGCACCTGTAATCACAGCTACTCGGGAGGCTGAGGCAGGATAATTGCTTGAACCAGGGCAGCGGAGGTTGGCAGTGAGCCAAAATCATGCCACTGCACTCTAGCCTGGGTGACAGAGCAAGACTCCGTCTCTATAAATAATAATAATAGTCATCATCATCATCATCTGAGTGGACCTGCTACAATAAGTCAAAAGGTTTTCAGAGCAGAGCCGAAGCTTCCCTGAGGAAATTCCACCTGCAGAGAGCGGCTTTAGTTCACACCCAAAGCTCCAGCCTGCACTTCCCGATGGGTGCCCTTTGTATGGATTTTGAAGGTGCTTAGCCAGCCCTACAATCCTGTAAACCAATTCCTTGCAACAAATTGCTTCATACATACCCCCTACTGGCTGCGTTCCTCTGTGTTATACCTGATTGATGAAGTGATCTACTTCCTGTCCATCCCCCATTCCCCGCTAGAAAGGAAGTTCTGAGAGTGGAAATCAGTATTTTGTTCACTGCTGTACCCCAGGTGCCTAGGGCAGCACTTTTTTTCTTTTTCTTTTTCTTTTTTTGAGATGGAGTTTCGCTCTTGTTGCCCGGCTAGAGTGCAGTGGCACGATCTCAGCTCACTGCAACCTCTGCTCTGGTTCAAGCGATTCTCCTGCCTCCACCTCCCGAGTAGCTGGGATTACAGGCGCCCACCACCACGCCCGGCTAATTTTTTGTATTTTTAGTAGAGACGGGGTTTCACCGTGTTAGCCAGGATGGTCTCAATCTCCTGACCTCGTGATCCACCCACCTCGGCCTCCCAAAGTGCTGGGATTACAGGAGTGAGACACCGCTCCCTGCCTTGTTTTTATTTTTTTGAGATGGAGTCTCTCTCACTCTGTCGCCCGGGCTGGACTGCAGTGGTGCGATCTTGGTTCACTGCAATTTGTGCCTCCTGGGCTCAAGAGATTCTCCTGCCTCAGCCTCCCGAGTAACTAGGATTACAGGCACACGCCACCAAACCCAGCTAATTTTTTTTTTTTTTTTTTTTTTTTTTAATTTTTAGTAGAGACAGGGTTTCACCATGTTGACCAGGCTGGTCTCGAACTCCTGACTTCAGATGATCCACCCATATCGGCCTCCCAAAGTGCTGGGATTACAGGTGTGAGCCACTGCGCCCAGCCTTACATTCACCATGTCTTACCTGATCCCACACCCCCAAGTGGGACCTGGGCCAGAGACTTGAGTTTCACCTAGATATCTTCCTTTCCCTCCCTAGCCCGACACTCATCATGCTTTCCATATATTCTCTCAAACGTCTCTCCATGTCCCCCCTTGACACTGTCCCTGTCTTAATCTAGTCCCCCCCGCCCCATTCCTAATCCTTTTCTTACCCCTGCTCATGACTTTTTTTGACTCTGCCCAGTAGTCTTGCTCCCTTCCACCCACCCTCCACACAATAGGCAGAGGGGCCTTTTATTTTTCTCTCTCCCTTCTTTTGAGACAGGGTCTCACCCTGTTACCCAAGCTGGAGAGCAGTGGCCTGAGCATAGCTCACTGTGGCCTCCAGCTCCTGGGCTCAAGCAATCCTCCCGCCTCAGCCTCCCAAGTAACTGGGACCACAGGCATGTATTTTTTTGTTTTTTTGAGACGGAGTCTCACTCTGTCACCCAGGTGGAGTGCAGTGGTGCAATCTCAGCTCACTGCAACCTCCACCTCCGGGGTTTAAGCGATTCCCGTGCCTCAGCCTCCCGAGTAGCTGGGATTACAGGCATGCACCACCATACCCGGCTAATTTTTGTATTTTCAGTAGAGACAGAGTTTCACTATGTTGGCCAGGCTTGTCTCGAATCTCTGACCTCAGGTGATCCGCCCGCCTCGGCCTCCCAAAGTGCTGGGATTACAGGCGTGAGATCCACCGCGCCCGGCCCAGGCTACGGATTTTAGCTTTTATGTTCATTGTACCAGCAACTGTATAAGTGCTCATTTATATTTATTGAGTCGATGAATGAAGCACCGCTTGTCGCATGACCTTGAGGACTCCTGCAGGATGCTTACGAACACATTTCTCAGCCGGACGGAGCTCCATCATCCTGCCATTCGGCTCACCTCACCTGCGTTCTGGCTTCTTTCCTGTCTGCGTGCACTTGCTTAAAGTCATGCCGGCGTCAGGATTTCCCTCCCTACCAGCCAAGAAGCTATTCCCTCTTATCTTCCCCGCTCCACGAGGTAAAAGTGCGGACAGAGGGGCCCCCAAGGCGTGATTGGAAGGCTTGCGGGTTGCTATGGTTACCGCATCCGCCCGGGGCGGGACATCCTCAGGACGCCCCGCCTCTAGGGGCTGCGAGGTGGGAAGCTCTGGAGCTGCCCAGCACGGGGGCGGGCAAGCCCGGAGGCAAAGCGGTTTCCTCACGCCTCCACTCCACCCACGCAGTTGTCAAGGAGACAAAATGCTTCCCTTCAGCGCTGCCTCCCTCCCCTTTCTCCTAGAGAAAGGGACAGTTGCGTAGTTAGAGAGCAGGGTGGGCTGGAAGACTGTCCGAAAGGCTGAGTACTGGCGCGCTCCCAGTATCTCTGCCACCAAGGCTCGCTACGCCTGCGCCGAGACCCAGTCCCGGGTACGACCCGGGACACGCGCATGCGCGCGACGGAGTTTTTGCGCGTGCGCCGTTGTGGCCCCAGGGGGCTAGGGTACCCGCGCGGCGCTAATCTTACGGCTGCGCAGTTGCGGCCTGCTGGTGGGGCTCGGCGGAGCGCGGTTCTGCGCCTGCGCTGTGCTTGGGGGGGTGGGAATGAAACCCAGGCTGTAAGGGCGTTGTGGCCGACTAGCCCTGGGCGCGCTTGCGCCTTGGCATGCGGGGCGGCCGGAGGCGGGGCCCAAAGAGGGGAGGGAGGGAGGCTGGGGGTGGGAACAGGCCGCAGAAGCCCGAGCCCTGACCCACCGGCGGCTGCGGCGGCGCCGGTGAGTGACCCGTGACCCGACTCGGTCCCCACCCTCCGCGACCCTCGCTCCCCCTGCCGTCCCCCGTAGCCTCCGCTGTCTCCTTGTGATACGGGACCTCCGTTATCTCTAGAGCTCCCCTTAATTTCTAGCAATCCCCAGAGCCTCCACAACCCCCGCAGACCCTGATCCCTAATATTTGATCGTTCCAGCTCTTCCAGTGATACAGGAGCTCCCACCTCACCATTATTCCTGGACATTCTCTAAGGGCCCTTCTCATATCAGTCTTACAGACGGCCCGGTTGCCCCCTGGAGCTCCTAGAGCGCCTCCTCTGCTCCAGATTCCCCCCTTCTTGCTGCATCGCCCCTTCCGCATCTCTTTATCTTCATGCATCTAAGACCCCCCCAAGGCACCCCCATCCTCCCTCCATTTCCTATCCTCCCATGCCCCCATTATCTAACTCCTGCAGACACCTCCTCTCCTCGCACTTTTCCTCCTTTCCCTCCATCCCTCCAGACCCTCCCCCAATTTCTATCAACTCTTCTGCGTGGCACTTCGCCCCGCGCGAAGTCCGAGCCGAGCACTCGGCCGGTGTCAGCTATTCTTAGGCGCTTCCGACTGCCCCGGGTGCCCGTCGCCCCCGCCCGCCCCTCGCCCTCACTCCTGCCGCGGGGACTAAGAAGCTCGCGGCCTGGCGGTCCGGGCGGGGCGGCGGCGGGGGGACGCCGAGCCCCCGCCAGCCCCGTGCGTCCTTTGCCCGCAGCGCCGGCGCCCCCCATGCGCCAGACGGCAGGACGGCGGCGTCGGGGGGCGCCATGGCCTCGGCGGCGGCGGGCGAAGCGGAGGAAACCACCCGGTTGCGCAAGCCGCGCTTCTCGTTTGAAGAGAACCAGATTCTGATCCGTGAGGTGCGCGCCCACTACCCGCAGCTCTACGGCGCGCAGAGCCGTCGGGTGAGCGTGGCCGAGCGGCGGCGCGTGTGGGACGGCATCGCCGCCAAGATCAACGGTATCACCAGCTGGAAGCGCACGGGCCAGGAGGTGCAGAAGCGCTGGAACGACTTCAAGCGCCGCACCAAGGAGAAGCTCGCTCGCGTGCCGCACTCCACGCAGGGCGCCGGGCCCGCCGCGGAGGACGCCTTCTCCGCGGAAGAGGAGACAATTTTTGCCATCCTGGGGCCAGGTGTGGCGGGGCCAGGGGCAGGTGCTGGGGCGGAGGAGCCCCCTGCAGCCCCCTCTTCACAGCCGCCGCCCCCGCCAAGCGCCTGCCCCCAGCGCTACGTGTTGTCGGAAGACCGCCGGGAGGACCGACGTGCAGGTGAGTGTCTTCGGCATCGCTTAGCGAGAGCGAGCACACACAGAGTCGGCTGTGTGTCTGCGCTGTTCCAGGCTTGCTGCAGCCCTGTGAGGTGGATGCTGTCCTTTTCCCCATTTTATAGCTAGGGAAACTGAAGCTCAGAAAAATGAAATGACTTGCCCCAGGTCCCTTAGCTAGTAACTGTCAAGAGTCAGGAATGGAACCAGACCCAGGAGGCCTGACTCAGGTCCACATCTGGGCTCATCAGCGCAGGCAGGATTTCATTAAATGCAGTGTAGAGTAGTGACTCTGGAGGCAGGCTGCCTGGGCTCCTATCACAACTTCGCCACTCAACTGTGTCATCTGAGTAAGTTACTGTACTTCAGTTGCTGCATCTGTAAAATGGAGATAAAAATAGTCTGCACCTCAAAGCGTTTCTGTGAAGATTAAATGAGCTAATATGGGTAAGTTGCTTAGTTCAGCACCTCCTGAACTCTGTTAGTTCTTGATAGAATCGTCAATGCGGTGAGATGCATACTATTTCACTATTTCGTAAATATAAGACTCAGACATGTTTGGTAATTTTCCCAAGGTCATGCCTGGGATAGAGGTGTGGAGAGCTGACTACAGAGACTTCCTGCTTGGCCTTGATTCTGGATTATTTCTTCTACAGCCGTTCCCTGAGCACCTGCCCCGTGCTCGATGAGGTTGGGGACACATGGATGACTGAGCCAGTCTAGTAGAGGGGTGGGCAAGACAGTGATGACTTGAAGGGTCAGGGCTGGGGTAGGGGATCCTAGGGACTGTGGGAGCCCAGAGAGGGTTTCTGATTTTGGTGGGTGAGGTGGGGGGTTGTCCAGGAGGGCTTCCTGGAGGAGGGGACATCAGAGCTGAGATGCAGAGTAAGAATGAAGAACTGGGAAAGTATTTTTGGTAGAGGGAACAGCATGTGCAATGGCTTGGAAGCAAGAAAGCTTGGCCAGTTTGGGAAACTAAAAGAACTTGGGCAGAGGGTTTACAGTGGAAAGGTTGAAGAAAAGTAACATTTTGAGATGAGTTCAGAGAGGTCAGCAAAGGCCAGACCATACTGGGCCTGTAGGCCAAGGTGAGGAGTTTGGATTTTATCCTGACTGCTATGGGGAGCCACTGAAGAGTTTGGAGAAGGGGAGGAACATGGGCATGATCAAACAGGACAGTTCAAGATTATGTGATTCAGAGAGGTTCATTCACCAACCCAAAGTCACACAGCAAGTAAGCGACAGAGTCAGGACTCAATCATAAGTGTGTATCCAACTTCCAGTCCATGGCACTTAACCACTGAGCAAGATTGCCCAGCAATAACAAGAGTTAATATTGCCCACAAGTTAGTGAGTGTGCCAGAATTAGATTATACATGGCTTGGAAGTTAAGGTTAGGAATTTGGACTTACTATTTTTGTTTTGTTTTGTTTTGTTTTTTGTTTTGAGACGGAGTCTTGCTCTGTTGCCCAGGCTGGAGTGCAGTGGCAAAATCTTGGCTTGCTGCAACCTCCGCCTCCCCAGGTTTAAGTGATTCTCCTGCCTCAGCCTCCTGAGTAACTGGGATTGCAGGCACCCGCCACCATGCCCAAGTAAATTTTTGTATTTTTAGTAGAGATGGGATTTCACTATGTTGACCAGACTGGTCTTGAACTCCTCACCTCAGGTGATCCACCCACCTCGGCCTCCCAAAGTGCTGAGATTACAGGCCTGAGTCACCATGCCCGGCCTGGACTTGCTCTTGAGGGCATTCAGGAGGCATGAAAGTCTCTTAAGTAAGAAGGTGACACAATCACATGGGACCCTTGTTCTCAAACCTTGAATCAAACCTCAGTGTTTCCATCTGTGAGATGGCCCCATAGGACCAAAGCAGAGATGGTCAACTTATTTTTTCAGAAGCTTGTTACCGCTTCATTCACTCATTTAACAAATATATATTGAGAACCTCATCCAAGGCAGACACTGTGGTAGGTGCAGGGAATACTGTAGAGAACAAGACAAAATTCCCTTCCCTGATGGAGCTGACATTATTATTATTTATTTATTTATTTATTTGAGACTGAGTTTTGCTCTTGTTGCCCAGGCTGGAGTGAAATGGTGCAATCTCGGGTCACCACAACCTCTACCTCCCAGGTTCAAGCAATTCTCCCTGCCTCAGCCTCCCGAGTAGCTGGGATTATAGGCATGTGCCACCATGCCTGCCTAAATTTGTATTTTTATTAGAAACGGGGTTTCTGCATGTTGCTCAGGCTGGTCTTGAACTCCCGACCTCAGGTGATCTGCCTGCCTCAGCCACCCAAAGTGCTGGGATTACAGGCGTGAGCCACCACACCCGGCCTGGAGCTGACATTCTATGTAGTTGGAGGAAACAGACCACAAAGACGTAACCCCCAAAACAGACTGTATACCAGGAGGTGGTGAGAACTAAGAGGATAAATAAGGCATATTCAGAGGATAGTGAGTCATGGAAGGGGGCTATACAGACAGGGTAGTCAAGGAGGGCTTCTCTGAGGAGGTGAAATTCAAGTAGAGATGGGAATACAGTAAGCCTGACAGACAGCTGGGAGAAGGGCACTCCTGCTAGAGGAAACGGCACATGGAAAGGCTCTGAGGCAGGAACACGCGTACAGCATCCTCAATTAGAACCTTACACAGGCCTGGCCAGGTGTGGTGGCTCACGCCTGTAATCCCAGCTCTTTGGGAGGCCGAGGCAGGCAGATCACCTGAAGCCCCATATCAGTTCGAGACCAGTTTGACTGACATGGAGAAACCCCGTCTCTACTAAAAATAGAAAATTAGCCAGGCGTGGTGGCGCATGCCTGTAATCCCAGCTACTCAGGAAAAGCTGAGACAGGAGAATCGCTTGAACTGGGAGGCGGAGGTTGCAGTGAGCCGCGATCGCACCATTGCACTCCAGCCTGGGCAACAAGAGCGAAACTCCATCTCAAAAAAGAAAAAAGAACCTTACACAGGCCTGGCATGGTGGTTCACGCCTATAATCCCAGCGCTCTGTGTAGTCCCAGCTCACACACTCATTTAAAAGTAGGGAAAATGAGGGCCAGATGCAGTGGCTCACACCTGTAATCCCAGCACTTTGGGAGGCCAAGGCGGGTAGATCACCTGAGGTTAGGAGTTCGAGATCAGCCTGGCCAACATGGTGAAACCCCGTCTCTACTAAAAAATACAAAAATTAGCCAGACGTGGTGGCGTGTGCCTGTAATCCCAGCTACTCAGGAGGCTGAGGCTGGAGAACCACTTGAACCTGGGAGGTGGAGGTTGCAGTGAGTTGAGATTGTGCCACTGCACTCCAGCCTGGGAGACAGAACAAGACTCCATCTCAAAAAAAAAAAAAAAAAAAAAGTAGGGAAACTGAGAGCCAAAGTTTTCAAATAAATATGATTTTAACTCTTAAACAGTGAAGCTAGGCACAGAGGCACGCCTGTAATCTCAGCACTTTGGGAGGCTGAGGCGGGAGGATTGCTTGATCCCAGGAGGGCAAGACCAGCCTGGGCAACAAAGTGAGACCCCATCTCTACAAAATAATCCAAAAATTAGCCAGGCATGGTGGCACGACGCCTTGGTCCCAGCTACACATGAGGTTGAGGCATGAGGATCCCTTGAACCTGGGAGGCAGAGGTTGCAGTGAGCCATGATCACACCACTGCACTCCAACCTGGGCAACACAGCAAGACCCTTCCTCAAAACAACCAAAAACAAACTCTTGCAGGGGCACTTCTGTGACTCCTGTGAGCCTTGTGGGCATGAAGGCTACTTTCTGTTCCTTTATACTTCGTAGACTGGAAAAGCCACATTTCTGTGTGGCTGCAATTCCCACGTTCCTCATAAGGAAGACTTACCATCCACACCCATACTCCAGGCCCACAGCCCTTGCCCAAGGAGTGGTTAAGAGCATGAACTCTGGCCTGGTGTGGTGGCTTACACCTGTAATCCCAGCACTCTGGGAGGCCGAGGTAGGCAGATCCCTTGAGGCCAGGAGTTTGAGACCAGCCTGGCCAATGCAGTGAAACCTCATCTCTACTAAAAATAAAAAAAACTAGCTAGGCATGATGGCACATGCCTATAATTCCAGCTCCTCGGGAGGCTGAGGCAGGACAATTGCTGGCACCTGGGAGGTAGAAGTTGCAGTAAGCTGAGATTATGCCACTGCACTTGAGCCTGGGTGATGGAGTCAGACTCCATCTCAAAAAAAAAAAAAAAAAAGAGCATGGATTCTGGCCAAGAGCAGTGGCTCACACCTGTAACCTCGGACTTTAAGAGGCCAAGGAGGGAGGATCATTTGAGGCCAGGAGTTTGAGACCAGCCTGGGCAATACAGCGAGGTTCCCATCTCTATAAAACAAACAAAAGAACAGACTATGGAATCAACCTGGGTTCAAATTCCTTTTCTGCATATCACTCTATGACACCTCTCTCTCAGCCTCAAGTCACCTCATCTATAAAATGGGGCGATGATCATGGTAGTACCTACCCCAGAGAATGGCTGGGAGGACTCAGTGAAATAATATAAGTGGGGAGCTTAGCCCAGAGCTTAGCCTAGGTCCTGGCTGGAGCAGGTGTCCTGTCACTGTCAGCTCTGCTCATCTCTCTCCCAGCCTCCCTACCTCCTGCTTGTGGCTGGCCCAGGGGGCCTGGACCCCCAGCAGTCAGGGCAGGAAGTGGCTGGTTTGTTTGTTTTTGAGACAGGGTCTTGCTCTGTTGCCCAGGGCTGGAGTGCAATGGTGCGATCTTGGTTCACTGCAACCTCAGCCTCCAGGGTTCAAGCGATTCTCGTGCCTCAGCCTCCCGAGTGGCTGCAGGCGTGTACCACCAGGCCCAGCTAATTTTTGTATTTGAGTAGAGACGGGATTTCACTATGTTGGCCAAACTGGTCTCGAACTCCTGACCTCAGGTGGTCCGCCTGCCTGGGCCTCCCAACGTCCTGGGATTACAGGCTGAGCCACCGCGCCTGGCCTGGATGGCTGGTTTTTTGGTTTTGTTATTCTTTTTTTTTCTCTCTCTCTTTCTTTGGCTGGCTGTTTTTGAGAGAAGAGCAGGGTGATCTGATTTGGCCAAGGAGCGGGAGGCCAGCTTCCCCGAGGAAGGAACATCCGAAAAAACATCCGAGCTGATGCAAGAGGCAGTGTGAGCCTGGCCCAGGGAGCGGCACGTGGGAAGACAGACAGAAAGGAGGAGGTGGGGGCAAGTACTGAGGCCCCATAGCCGTGGGAAGAGGCTGGACTTTCTCCTGTGGGTGCTGGGAGCTCTGGGGCCTGGGACACAATCAGCACTGGGTCTCTGGAAGCCCCAGTTCTTTTCTCATTAAAGAAAAAATATTGTGCTGGACATTGTTCTAGGCGCCGGGTAAACAGAAGGGAGCAATACAAAGCCCTGCCTGATGGAGCTGACATCAGGAGGAGGAGACAGACAGCAGACACAGAGCCATACCGTGCCAGGTGGAGATAAGTGCTGGGAGAGAAATCAGGTAGGGTTAGGGGAGAAAAAAGGAAGGGGACGGGGCCAGCCTGAACAACATGGCAAAAACCTGTCTCTACAAAAACAAAACAAAACAAAAATTAGCCAAGCATGGTGGTACACACCTGTAGTCCCAGCTATAGCTACTCTGGAGGCTGAGGTGAGAGAATCGCTTGAGCCTAGGAGGCAGAGGTTGCAGTGAACCAAGATTGCACCACTGCACTCCAGCCTGGGCGACAGAATGAGACTCCATCTCAAAAAAAAAAAAAAAAAAAAAGTAGGCGTGATGTATGTGAGGATCAGCAAGGAGGCCAACGTGGCTAAAGCCAGGTAACCCAAGAGGGCAGGATGGGAGCCGAGGTCAGGGAGGCAATGGGGGCAGATCGTGCGGGGCCCTAGAGGCCTCAAGGACTTTGCCTTTACCCTGAGTGAGGTGGGAGCCACAGGACGGTTTGAGCATAGTAACAATATCCGACTTGTATTTTTTTAAACAATTATATTGCGATATACAGCTGTGCGCGGTGGCTCATGCCTGTAATCCCAGCACTTTGGGAGGCCGAGGCGGGCAGATCACGAGGTCAAGAGATCGAGACCACCTGGCCAACATGGTGAAACCCCGTCTCCACTAAAAATACAAAAATTAGCTGGGCATGGTGGTGCACGCCTGTAGTTCCAGCTACTCAGGAGGCTGAGGGTGGAGAATGACTCCGACCCGGGAGGCAGAGGTTGCAGTGAGCCGAGATCTCGCCACTGTACTCCAGCCTGGGCAGCTGAGTGAGACTCCATCTCAAAAAAAAAAAAAAAAGAAAAGAAAAGAAACAAAAAAAGATATACATATATATGGCGATATAATTTCCATACTATACAATCAACGCAGTGTACAATTTGCTTGAGCCCAAGAGTTTGAGACCAGCCTGAGGAACACAGTGAGACCTCATCTCTACAAAAAAATAAAATTAACCTGGTGTGGAGTCGCACATCTGTGGTCCCAGCAGCTCAGGAGGCTGAGATGGGAGATTAAGCTGAGGAGACTAAGGCTGCAGTGAGCTGAGATCTCACCCCTACATTCCAGCCTGAATGACAGAGCGAGACTCCGTCTCAAAAAAATAAAAATCAAGGCCGAGCATGGGAGCTCACGCCTATAATCCCAGCATTTGGGAGGCCGAGGTGGGTGGATCACGAGGTCGGGAGACTGAGACCATCCTGGCTAACACGGTGAAACCCTGTCTCTACTAAAAATACAAAAAAATTAGCCAGGTGTGGTGGCAGGCGCCTGTAGTCCCAGCTACTCAGGAGGCTGAGGCAGGAGAATGGTGTGAACCCGGGAGACGGAGCTTGCAGTGAGCCAAGATCGCACCACTGCCCTCCAGCCTGGGCGACAGAGGGAGACTCCGTCTCAAAGAATAAAAAAATAAAATTAAAATTAAAGTGTACAGGGCCAGGCGCAGTGGCTCACACCTGTAATCCCAGCACTTTGGGAGGCCGAGGCGGGCGGATCACGAGGTCAGGAGACCGAGACCATCCTGGCTAACATGGTGAAACACCGTCTCTACTAAAAATACAAAAAATTAGCCGGGCGTGGTGGCGGGCACCTGCAGTCCCAGCTATTCGGGAGGCTGAGGCAGGAGAATGGCATGAACCCAGGAGACGGAGCTTGCAGTGAGCTGAGATCGTGCCACTGCACTCCAGCCTAGGCGACAGAGCAAGACTCCATTTCAAAAAAAAAAATAAAGTGTACAATTCAATGGCTTGTAGTATATTCAGAGTTGTGCAACCATCGCCACGATCAATTTTAGAACATTTTCATCACTCCATAAAGAAACCCTGCACTTCTTAGCCATCCCCAATCTCCCATCTTCCCCATCTTCCCCCAGCTCCTGGCAGCCACTCATCTACTTTCTGTTTCTATAGATTTGCATTTTGGTTTTGTTGTTGTTGTTGTTGTTGTTTTGAGACGGAGTTTCGCTCTTGTTGCCCAGGCTGGAGTGCAATGAAGCAATCTCAGCTCACCGCAACTTCTGCCTCTCGGGTTCAAGCACTACTCCTGCCTCAGCCTCCTGAGTAGCTGGGATTACAGGCATGCGCCACCATGCCCAGCTAACTTTGTATTTTTAGTAGAGACAGGATTTCTCCATGTTGGTCAGGCTGGTCTCAAACTCCCAACCTCAGGTGATCTGCCCACCTCGGCTTCCCAAAGTGCTGGGATTACAGGCATGAGCCACCGCACCTGGCCTATTTTTTATTTTTGAGACAGTCTCGCTCTGTTGCCCAGGCTGGAGTGCAGTAGCGTGATCTTGGCTCACTACAACCTCCACCTTCCAGGTTCAAGCAATTCTGCCTCAGCCCCCCCAGTAACTGGGGTTATAGGTATATGCCACCATGCCCAGCTAATTTTTTGTATTTTTAGTAGAGATGGGGTTTCACCATGTTGGCCAGGCTTGTCTTGAAGTCCTGACCTCAGGTGATCCACCCACTTTGGCCTCCCAAAGGGCTGGGATTACAGGCATGAGCCACCGCGTCCGGCCAAATTTGCCTATTTTGGACATTTCATATAAATGGCCCCTATGATCTGTGATTCTTTGTGAGTAGCTTGTTTCCTGCAGCCTAACTGACTTGTATTTTAGTTGGACCCCTCAGGGTGCTGGTGGAAAAAGATACTGTCAGGGACAGGGGTGGAAGCAGAGAGCCCTCAGGGAGGAGATGACCGCAGTGGTCCTGGTGGGAGATGCTGGTGGTTGGACCAGGGTGGGGACCACGGAGAAAGAAGTTGGATGTATTTAATTTGAAGGCAGAAGCTTCTGTATGCGGATGGTGTCTTAGTAAACAAAACAGTGAAGGTGTTTAACCTGAGCAGCTGGGAGGATGGAGCTGCATCAGCTGAGATGGGGGTGGCTGAGGGAGGAGTAGGTTAGGGGAGGATCAGAAGCCCAGCTCTGAGCAAGTGAGTTTGGGGCGTTTTTAGACAATGAAGAGTGCACAGCTGGAGACAGGAGTCTGGAGCCCAGGCAGAGGTTCAGGCTGAGCCCAGGAAGCTGGGAGCCCCTGTATGCAAACTGTTCAAGCCCATGAGCTTGAATGAGACCCCAGGTGAGTACAGACTGAGGAAGCCTACCAGGCTGGAGGCTGAACTGGAAAATCCTGCTGTCCTGGTTGGAGAGAGTCTCAGGGAAATGTCCATCAGTGCCCAGCCACCCCAGCTCTCTCTCAGGCCCTTCTCTCACCTCCTTAGGATCCAGCAGTGTGATGCAGTATCCAGATAGTTCAGAGCCTCATCAAATGTTGGCCCTTAACTGGGCGAAGTGGCTCACGCCTGTAATCCCAGAACTTTGGGAGGCCGAGGCAGGTGGATTGCTTGAGGTCAGAAGTTTGAGACCAACCTGGCCAACATGGCAAAACCCTATCTCTACTAAAAATACAACAATTTAGCCGGGCGGGGTGGCGCCTGCCTGTAGTCCCAGCTTCTTGGGAGGCTGAGGCAGGATAATCATTTGAAGCAGTAAGACGAAGGTTGCAGTAAGCCGAGATCGCGCCACTGCACTCCAGTGTAGGCTACAAAGTGAGACTCTGTCTCAAAAAAAAATTAAAAAACTAGAAAAACTGTTGGCTCTTACTGTCAGTGAGATGGGAGCTGCCTGGCCCAGCAAGGGACTTTCAGGACCTGCTTCCACTAAAGCGGGCACGAATGTCTCTCCTCTGGGTACAAAGACTGGCCTGCCATGGAGCTTCTCTGCCAAGGCGTGATCTGACGTAGGTTTTAAAAGGATCATTCTGGGGCCAGGCGCGGTAGCTCACACCTGTAATCCCAGCACTTTGGGAGGCCGAGGCGGGCAGATCACCTGAGGTCAGGAGTTTGAGACCAGACTGGCCAACGTGGTGAAAACTCGTCTCTACTAAAAATACAAAAAGTAGCCGGGTGTGGTGGCGGGCACCTGAAATCTCAGCTACTCAGGAGGCTGAGGCAGGATAATCGCTTGAACCCAGGAGTTGGAAGTTGCGGTGAGCCAAGATCATACCACTGCACTCCAGCCAGGGTGACAGAGCAAGACTGTCTTGGGGCTGGGGGGCGGGAGGTAGGAAGGATAGTTCTGGGTTCGGGTAGCGGGGAGGTTAGGGAAGGAGGGGGGAAAGGGGAAATCAAGGCAGCATTGAGGGTCACTCACCCCTTGCCTGCATTTCTCTCTCTACAGATACATCAGCCCACAGCAAGGGGGGCTCCAGCAGCCCGGAGCCATGGGCCCGGCCCTCCTGCACTCCCCAGGAAGGGGGCTGCCCACGGCCCAAGGAGCGTGAGTCCCCACCCCCTTCCGCCCTGCAGCCGGTCCAGCTGCCTCGCCTGGCCTTGTCTCCACCACCCCCAGCCCCTCCACTGCCACCCCCACCGCCACTGGCCCAAGTGGCACCCTCGCCCCCTAGCCCCCCACCCCCTCCTCGGCCTCCGCCCACGCTCTCGGCCTCAGACCCCTCCCTGGACTTCCTGCGGGCCCAGCAGGAGACTGCCAACGCCATCCGGGAGCTGGCCGGCACCCTTCGACAGGGACTGGCCAAACTGAGCGAGGCCCTGAGCGCTCTGCTGCCCCTTCTGCCAGGAACCTCAGTCGACTCCCTGCCCCCACCTCTGCCCCCACCCCCACCCCCACCCCCACCCCCCAGGCCCGTCCTGCCCCCACCAGCCCCCAAGGTGGAGATCACCCCAGAGCCCGTGTCTGTGGTGGCTGCTGTGGTGGACGGGGCAGTGGTGGCAGCCAGGGGAGTGATCATTGCCCCAAGGAGCGAGGAGGGGGCGCCCCGGCCACCCCCAGCCCCACTCCCTCCACACGACTCCCCGCCACACAAGCGGAGAAAAGGTTTCCCTACACGCAAAAGGCGCGGCCGATGGAAATCTCCGTGAAATCTACTATCTATGCTCCTGCCTGCACCCCCTCTCCCCAGCTTGGCGCAGTCGAGGGGGGCGATGCTCTCTGCCCATCCCAGCTGCACCCTAGCTCCCTGCTCCAGGGATGTGAGCACCCACTCCCTGTGCTAGTTAGTGCCTGATTCTCTGGGGGGGCCTCAGTAATGGGCCCCCCAACCCCTTTCTCTGGTACAGTGCTGTCTGCCTGGCTGCCTCCCTTAACCCTGACTTCTAAGCCATCAATTTCATGTTATTTATTATTGCCCTATGTGGGGTGGGGAGGGAACCTCTCGGGTCTGCACATCTCCCCTTCCCTAACAGTTCCTGTTCTTGACTTGAAGAGAATTGACCCGTGGGGGACTCCCCACCTGCCCAACCCAGACTTTGGAGCGGGTGGGAGTTGTGAGACAAATCAAAATATGGATGACAAAGAGGATATAGCCGTGTATACCCCAGGGAGAGGAGGCATTGAGTTCTGATGGGAGAGGTATAGGTTGGGTTCTCTGCCTACCATTGCTGTCTCTGACTTCCGGAGCTCAACCCCCTCCTTTCTCCCAGTGGTGACAAGATATCAATAAACTTATTTTTAATACAATTACTTGAGGCTCTGTCTGAGACAGGCCTGGGGGACCAGTACCTACACCTGCCCCGCCCCCTCCACAGGTAGGCAATTGGGAGGCTAGTGGTTTTCCAGCTTTTTTTTTTTTTTTTTTAATTCTTAAAGCCATCAAGTCTTGTGTTTACATGAAATCTTCCTACTCATCCTTTAGATACCAGTCTAAATGTCACCTCCAGGAGAAAGTCCTAGATTCCTTCCCAAGGCTAACATGGGTTTGCCTCTTAGAGTCTCTCTCAGTGTCCTGTGGTTCTTTTTTTCTCTTTGCTTTTCTTATTTCTGGTTTTTCGTTTTGTTTTGTTTTGAGACAGGATCTCGCTCTGTTGCCCCGGCTGGAGTGCAGTGACACGATCACAGCTCACTGCAGCCTCGACCTCCCAGGCTCAAGCAATCCTCCTACCTCAGCTTCCCAAGTAGCTGGGACCACAGGCATGTGCCACCATACTCAGCTACTTGTTTTATTTTTCTAGAGATGGGGTTTTCCTATGTTGTCCAGGCAGATCTCAAACTCATGGGCTCTGGCAGTCCTCCCACCTCAGCCTCCCAAAGTGCTGGGATTACAAGCATGAGCCACCACACACAGCTGGGTTCTTTTTCATAGTGTCTTTAAATGAACACAGGCCTTTATCTATTTAAGGCACATTTGCCCCATAATGTCATGAAGGCAGGAACTGGTTCTTTTACTCTGCTGCAGGGCCAGGTAACAAAATAGGTAATCACCACCACTCTGGACTCAGACGTGGCTCAAGTGCTGGTGCTGCCCTGGCCAACCGTGTAACCATTGACTTCCAGTATCCTTACCTGTAGAATGGGCATAAAGATCTCAGAGTCTTTCTTCCTATAATTAGATTATACTTTTTTTTTTTTTTGAGATGGAGTCTCCCTCTGTTGCCCAGGCTGGAGTGCAATGGCACAGTCTTGGCTCACTGCAACTTCTGCCTCCTGGGTTCAAGTGATTCTCCTGCCTCAGCTTCCCAAGTAGCTGGGACTACAGGCGCATGCCACCACACCTGGCTAATTTTTTTATTTTAACTTAGTTTGTTTTTTTTTTTTTGAGATGGAGTCTTGCATCTGTCCCCCAGGCTGGAGTACAGTGGTGTGAACCCATCTCCTGGGTTCATGGAATTCTCCTGCCTCAGCCTCCTGAGTAGCTGGGATTACAGGTGTGCGCCACCACACCTGGCTAATTTTTGTATTTTTTAGTAGAGATGGGGTTTTACCATGTTGGCCAGGCTGGTCTCAAACCCCTGACCTCAAGTGATAGGCCTCCCAAAGTGCCGGGATTATAGGAGTGAGCCATTGCCACCGCCCAGCCTAATTTTTTAATTTTTAGTAGAGACAAGGTTTCACCACATTGGCCAGTCTGGTCTCGAACTTTTGACCTCAAGTGATCCGCCCTCCTCGGCCTCCCAAAGTGCTGGGATTATAGGCATGAGCCACCATGCCTGGCCAGGAAAGCTTTTCCAGACACACACTCCCCACAGCAGTCATCACAAATTTTAGTTCATCATTTGAGTAAATTTAGTATCTGCCTCCATCACCAGGCTGGGGCTTCTCAGGGGCAAGGCTTAAGCCTGTCTCAGCTGCTATGTCCCCAGCATTGCCCACCACGGAAGAGGGGTTGAATATTTGAATAACTGTCCAGCTTAAAAACAACTTCCATTTATGGCACTTTTCTGTGCCAAGCACCAAGCTAAGCATTTATATGCATGTTTGCATTCAATCTGAAGGTACCCAAATAAAAACAGACTCGAGGGGGTCTCCATTTTTTCCAAGAAGTTTAGAGACTTGCCCAAGGCCACAGCTGATCAGAGGCCAGTCCAGTCCACCTGAAGGCTGAATCTGGCCAGAAGTCTTAACTCCCTTTAGAGTTTCGTAAATAATAGCCCAAAGGCAATTTTAAGTGACATATGAATGTCTTCTTGAATTAGTCGATAGTTTTCACTGATTTTTTTTAAGCTAACCAGTAGATGAAACCCATGATTGTGAACGTATTACCTAGGATGAGGTAAAAATAGATAGATCTTTTTATTTCTATTTATTTTTTTGAGACAGGGTCTTGCTGTGTTGCCCAGGCTGGAGTGCAGTGACGCAATCATGGTTCACTGCAGCCTGTTACCTCCAGACTCAAGCAATCCTCTCACCTCAGTCTAATAAATCTTTTTTTAAGGGAGAAAAGTGTTCAAATACAGGTAGTAGACAAAATTGTGAAACCATTTTGAAATTGTGAAGTCTGGGTAACAGAATCAGAGTTGCTGCGGTTCCAGTGGGACGGGAGAAGGGACAAGCAGCCCCTCACTAGACTGAAAACCAGGGCCAACTGGCACATCATTCAAGTATTTTTGAGCACCTAACATGGACCCAGGCCTAGAGAAAGGGGCTGTTGTGGGTTAGAACCTGGAGACCCGCCTCCGCCGTTCCCCAAAGACAGCCCCGTCGTGTTCCCAATGCCTGGGAAAGAAGACAGGAGGGTCCTCAAAGCCTGATTGGGCCTTGCAGGTAGTGAGCGCTCAGGGTTGGGGAAAGGTAGTCTGGTGTTCGCCCTTCCCCAGCAACTCCCTCCTCTTGCCCGTCACTTCTTAACCCCTTACTCTTCCCTCAAATTGGGGAGCAACAGAGGATAAGGGTCCCCCAAACGCCATGCTCCGAATGCACGTAAAGAACCCCCAGAAAGGTTGGGGGGGGCGCGGGTAAAGCAGCGTGAATCTGAAAGGCCTACCCCAACCTCCCAGGCGGCGGAAGCACGTCACTTTGTCCGCGTCCGCAGTGCATTTTGGGAATTGTAGTGAAGCGGGTGGAGGACGCCGAGCAGCCGACGGTGTAACCCTTTAGAGACCAGAGCGCGCGGGCAGAGCTGGGACAGGGTTAGAGGGCGGTCAGTCGCCCCCCTTCTTTAGCAGAGAAAACTGAGGCAAGGCTCTGGCTCCGGAGCCCTTAGTCCTCTCCCTTCGCTGGCTGTGGCGGGCCCCAGAGGCATACATCTAGGATTCCGGGGGAGGACGAAGTGCCAAGTGGCCACCCCCACCCCCACCTAGTTGCCAGTTTCCCTTCCCTGCTCTGAAGCCAATCAGGGCTTCTCCGCCCCTCCCCAGAAGCTGCTACCTTCCTAATCCGTCATTGGCCCACCTTTGCTGGGCGGGGAAACTGAGGTTCAGAGAGGGCAAGACATTTTGCCTAAAGCTGCACAACAAATCGGAGCAGAAGTTGGAATCCTGGAAGCCTGTCCACCCACCCCCAAAATTTCTGAATCCGGAGTAGCTCTGATCATTCGTATTGCAAACTCGCCTCCCACCTTTGTGTCCCAGCATCTTGCGGCGCGCCGAACTCCGGCCCCGCGGAGACGGTTATAAGTGCTGCGCGCGGAGAGGCGACGACCCCCCCAGCCCGCCTCTGCCCGCCGTTCCCTTTAAGAGCCGGCCCCGGCGGGACTACGTTTCCCAGAAGGCTTTGCTGGCGCGTTATGTAACTTTCCCTGCGAAGCGGCCTCTGGGGCAGAAGAAGGAGGTGGAGGCGGCGGCGGCCGTTGCAGCGGCGGCGGCGAGAGCGGCGGGAGCCCGAGGCGGCTGCGCTCGCGGCCCATCGTGGGGCCCGAGCTGTGCGCCTCGGCTCGGAGCCCGGACCGGGCGGGGGCGCCGACGTGCCTCAGCCTGCCTTTGCGAGGGAGGCGGGAGTGAGCAGAAAGGCTTAGGGCCCAGGGGGCGGGGAAGGGGGGCCGGGCCTGGATCCGGCGGGGAGGCCGAGCCGGAGGCCGGACCGTGGCTCGCGCTGTCCCGGGGACGCGGATCGAACGTCGGCGGCGCGGATCGCACGTCGGCGGCCGGTGGAACGCGGGAGCCGGGCGGCGCGCGGACTGGGGCCATGGCGTCTGTGCAGGCGTCCCGCCGCCAGTGGTGCTACCTGTGCGACCTGCCCAAGATGCCGTGGGCCATGGTGTGGGACTTCAGCGAGGCCGTGTGCCGCGGCTGCGTGAACTTCGAGGGCGCGGACCGCATCGAACTGCTCATCGATGCCGCCCGCCAGCTCAAGCGCAGCCACGTGCTCCCCGAGGGCCGCTCCCCCGGGCCCCCGGCCCTTAAGCACCCGGCCACCAAGGACCTGGCTGCGGCCGCCGCACAGGGGCCCCAGCTGCCGCCCCCGCAGGCCCAGCCCCAGCCGTCAGGGACCGGCGGCGGCGTCTCGGGCCAGGACCGCTATGACAGGGCCACATCATCGGGCCGCCTTCCCCTGCCCTCGCCCGCCCTGGAGTACACTCTGGGGTCCCGCCTGGCCAATGGGCTGGGCCGTGAGGAGGCCGTGGCTGAGGGGGCGCGAAGGGCCTTGCTTGGCTCCATGCCTGGCTTGATGCCCCCTGGGCTGCTGGCAGCTGCAGTGTCTGGCCTGGGAAGCCGAGGCCTGACGCTGGCACCCGGCTTGAGTCCTGCCCGTCCCCTCTTCGGCTCCGATTTCGAGAAAGAGAAGCAGCAGAGGAATGCGGACTGTCTGGCAGAACTGAACGAGGCCATGCGGGGCCGGGCAGAGGAATGGCACGGGCGCCCCAAAGCAGTGCGGGAACAGCTACTGGCGCTGTCCGCCTGCGCCCCGTTCAATGTGCGCTTCAAGAAGGATCACGGGCTGGTGGGGCGAGTGTTCGCCTTCGATGCTGCTGCCCGTCCTCCAGGATACGAATTCGAGCTGAAGCTCTTCACCGAATACCCCTGTGGTTCCGGCAATGTGTATGCCGGCGTCCTGGCGGTGGCTCGCCAGATGTTCCACGATGCTCTGCGGGAGCCGGGCAAGGCACTGGCTTCTTCGGGCTTCAAGTACCTCGAATATGAACGCCGGCATGGCTCAGGAGAATGGCGGCAGCTGGGCGAGCTGCTTACCGACGGCGTCCGCAGCTTTCGCGAGCCAGCTCCCGCGGAGGCCCTGCCCCAGCAGTACCCAGAGCCTGCCCCTGCGGCTCTCTGTGGCCCACCACCGCGAGCCCCATCCCGGAACCTGGC